ACACAATTTCTGTAGAAATTGGCATAGGCCTTAGATACCCCTCTTTTCTTTTTAATATTTTCTTTATCAGTTTATATTCTCTCCCAACCCAGGTCCTCGTTTGTAAGCTAATTTAACGATTAGTGAACAAACTTGTAACAATATACTTTAACATTTATTTTTTTTCATTTTTTACTTTAATTTTTCTTTTCTTATTGCTATTGATATATCTTATTTTCAGCAAAAATATTTTTAATTTAAATTTTATTATTTTTAATTAATTATATTTTATTTCTCATTTATATCTTTATTTTTATTATTATTTTTATTTTTATTTTTAATATTGTTATTTCTTATAATTTATCTCATGTTATTCAATTTTTCTTAGAATTTTTCTTTTTACTATACTCTTATAATTTCTCTTATCTTTACTTACTCAAATTTAGATTAATTTATCTTGTATTTTCTTTTTTCTTATCTTGTATAATTTTTTATTTAATTTTAATCTTTGTTCTCTTTTAATATTATTTAGTATTATTTATAAATAATAATATAATTTAGAATTATTATTAATTATATAAATTGAAATAACTATTAAAAATATATAAAAAAAGAGTTTTTTATTATTAGAAACTCTCATGCTCTGATCTAATAAAAATAATAAAGTTCTTACTTGTAATATCTTGTAATATTATACTTGTAAATATATTATTATTTTTCTAATTATCTTCAAATTTTGATTCCAAGTAGTGGATGCTTCTCTACTAAAGATGGTGTCTTAATTAATTGCAACTTGCAGTATCAAATCAGAAAATTGCAATTTAATTATAATAACCAATCAAAGAATTGTGACCAAGTTGCAACTAATTGTGATTCCATCTTTATTCTCCACTTTAAATAAGTTGTTAACTTTATTATCTTAGTTTTATTACTTTTAGACAGTCTCAATAAGTTCAATTAATCTTTTTATTTCATTAGGCAGTTCCAATAAGTTCTGTTATTTTCATTAATAGCTATTCTATTTTATTTTAATTTATTATATCTTTTTCTTTAATTCTACTCTTTGTCCCTATATTTATTTTTGATATTAAGTTAGTTTGCGTACAATCTACCCTAGGAAATCTTCAGAACCTTTAGTGAACCCCATTAATCATAAATTATTCAGTATTTGTTCTTTCACTATTATGTTACTTCATTAATTCTTGAATTAACAAGAACATTATCCAGTATAAAGACTTGTTCAAGTTTATTTCAGAATTTCAGCTGGTGGAAAACTCGAGTTGCAAGCAATTTATCCTCGTCTAATTGAAAATGTGTATTTTCCAATAATACGCAATAACATGAAAAGATTCTTACAACAATTACATTGAAGTCTCTAGATAACAATATTGCTCAAAGTCCTAACGCTGATATTAGATTTTGTGTTACAAAAATACAGACGACAATTATATTTGGTGAATGATTCCGTTATTTTAGAACGTTATTCATAGTTAATAAAAAAGTGTATGCAGATATCAAAGGTAGTCTATTAACAGTATTGGCTGGCTAGGGTATTTTGATCTTCAAGCGAAAAGCACGACAATTGGTTGTAGAAATGAACGAATTGGTTATTACAACAAATCAGGAATCGAATGATCCAGATTTGGTTACAATCGACTCATCATTCGTCACCTCTCCATATACACACGAATTCAAAAAAGATGAAAATGGAAAATATATTTTTATGATTGGGGAATTTTTACAACAAATGGTGCTTTAGATTGGCTTTTTGCTAGTTTAGCAAATCACCCTAAGGTACAACGTAAAGTTCAACAAGAATTAGATGGAATAGTCGGTAAAGGAAGGCTTTATACTATGAATCATTATGCTGACTTAAATTATTTGAAAGTTACTATAGAAGATTTAGGTAAGAAGTATCTTCTTGTTACTAAGAGAAATTTGTAATCTTGGAAATTTAATAAAACTTTTCAATAAACAGGACAGGTATAAATTTAAGTTTGCCACATTGCAGCTCTCAGGATGAACTTATAATGGATACATATTTCCGCAAATACTGGAATAGTAATCAATTTCAATGCGATTCACTCCAACCTTCTACTTCATGACGAACCACATGAATTTCGTTCTGAGCGATATTTGACAATGGACAGTGTTGCCACTGGAACATTCCAGTGAGAGTCAACATTAAAAATTCATTGAAATTAACTAGATAAATTAATATAAGGATAACATATTGATAATTAGTTTATACTTTTAATGGATTTTTTGATGACTGGAATCTTCTAGTGGCGTTCCAGTCAATATTAATTTTACTTCCAGTGACTTTCCGATGGCTTCCAGTGGCTTCCAGTAACTACACTGATGATGGACATTTAAAACAATACGACGAGATTCTTGATCCATAGGTAATTATTAACTATAAATTATATTCATTTATAAATTTTCAAACTATAATATTCATTTTTAATGTCATTTGGTCGTGGACGCCGGGCATGCTTAGGAATAAACTTGGCTTATTGTAATATGCTTACAGTTATCGGTCATACAATAGCGGTGTTTGATCTTGAATTGGAACAGATAAAGATTAATCTTGATGCAGGAAAAGGCTATGATTTCGAGTATCTTCCACCAGCATATAAATTAATTTTAAAGTTCGTGAAGGCGTTGATATTGAAACAGTTTTAACGAAGTAATTAAATCATCCATATTTTCATTATTAAATATACGTAGTATGTCAATGTATCAATTAGCACACTTTCACAATAAAATAAATATTGCTTGTAGCAATGCTTTGTAGGATCTGACTACAATGGCAAATACGCATGATAAACATTCTTTTGTTGTTTATTAAAAAAAATAAATCAGTAACACGGATATTATGTACTTTATACTCAAAAAGTTCATTGGTAAGCATGCATGTAAGGGACCGAACCTTTCGGTTCCAAACCGAGACCGAATCGAAACAGAGTTGAAATCGAACCAAAAGTTCGATTCGTTTCACTTATTTTTGATGATCTAAACAGTTACGTGTTAATAGCGTCATTAATATCAGTATCGATATACTATCTGATTTTTTAATATTGTGTGTACGGTCAGGGCGCGATTTAACTACGTGCATGTTTTGGAAATTGGTATTGCTAATATAAAAGATCGTTAAGTCAGGAAATTTTGTTATAAAGATTGGCTAAATAAAAATCACGTGAAATCGACTTTTTGAGAAACTTCGCCATCAAAAATTCACGCTCACGCGAGCTTGAAGTGGCGTAAACCAATAAGAACGTGTAAAACAAGAAAAACAAATGTCAAATCTGACTTGAAGCACTAATAAAAATCTCGGAAAGGGAATTTTACACATAACTTTTCTTCCACTCTAACCAAACGATAAAATAGTCTAACGTTAATTTTCTGTAATCACGTGAGCGTGACTTTTTGATGGCAGGGGAAAATTTTGAGAGAACGATATTTAATAACTACAAGACACTCTCCAGACTATTTCTTCACTATATCAAGAGCTCTTAATATAGTAAAGTTTATATTTAGAAATCTAAATCTTTTGTAGCGAAAAGGAAAGCTAGTTTAAATAAGGCAACAAGCACTATAAGTGTGATAAGGAAAAGTAAATTATTATGTTGCATAATATCTAAAGTCATCAAGCGTTTGTATTTTATAAAATGGGTAAACGTCTTTAGTAAGAAGTAAATACAGAATTTAATCTGTGAATATGATAGAATAGGCCCTTTCAGAGCATATTCACGATTAAATTTTGTATTATAAAACACAGATTTTTTATGACTTTAGATGTTATGCATCATAGAGCGAAGCAAACAGGCAAGAATAAGCGAAAAAAAAGAAAATTTTTTAACACATGTTAATCTAATTGGTCAGTAAGATCATGTGCTTGCAATCTAATTGGTCAAAAAATTCACGTGATTAATCTTTACTATTGAGATATTTTTATTAGACTTACGGAGAAAAAGCTTCACTATAGCTTATAACTTCACGATATCAAGTGAAGATTTATTAGTGATGGTTATGTTCTAAGAAAATTCCTCACTATAAATCAATCTTTACTATATCAGGAGTTTACTACATGTATATCGAGAGTGCCTTGTACATAAACCATTTAAAGTATAATTACAATTGTAAAAAAAGACTCATTGAAGTTTTATTATCAATGTACTCACGTAGAACATGACTACTTAACGAATTAATTATTAAATGTGTTCTTTGATGTTTAGGAGAAGTTGGAATTTCATTTATTTAAATTAATTTGATTCATTTCTACAAAAGATAATACGAAGTGAAACTCATTGAAAAAGACAATGCAATGCACTGTCATTGAATTGGGAAATTCAAATTTAATCAGTAATGGTCGATATCGTAAAATCACATAATTATTAAATCGCGTCCTGACTGTAATTGCGAATTCTAAAAAAATTTATGTGAATTTCAAGTGATATTTCTGGTTTTTAATATTTTGGTTAAAATTATATACCAATCGCTGCTATTTAACTGATGAATGGTTTCCGAATAATTGTTGAATGGTGGTTGTTTTTTCGACTAGTAGACGACCGGTCTTAGATACCAAATGCTGTTCCCGGATGGTGCAAATTTATTATTGAAAAATATTTCAGAAAACAGACTAACTGCTGGGAAACTTATCCACTCTATCTATGATACTCTCTATTTCATTCAGCACTAACTCTTTAGAATATTATTGAGTATCTTAAATTGGAAAAGCAGAAATGGAAAGAACTTGATGAGGAGATGAAATTGCAAAAAAGCATTCCTACAAATAGAAGCAAAAAGCAAATGACGCTGGACCGAATCTTTACTACTTTCTCTTCTGAAATACAAATTATATTAGCATTCCACATTAATTGATTTATATAAAATGCTTAGTATCAGTTTGTATCAGTATGTACCAGACGAAGGTAGAATCATTTGTTATATTATTTTTCCATTAATCTTTTGTGTTGCAAAACAGATTTAGATATACGTATCGAGGAACAGCTACTACAACTTTATGATGAACCACTTTCAATATCATGCTCTTTTATTAAATGAAACTGGCAAGCATTAAATTATACTTCATGGCAATAATAAAAACTATGTTTTTTAGTCTAAAAACATGTTTTAGTGCGTAATTATTAATTGTATTTCGAGTTATAAAGCACAACGACTAAATGCGATGTCTATTTCTTTGTATTCGTGCATATATTTATCATTATTCTTATCGTTATATTTGCCATTACCGTTACGATTACATTTTATCGTTACGTATTTATTTTATTCATATTCCTAGAATTTAATTACAGTATTCAATTACACACTTTATGTTTATCATGATTACCTCATACACATGAGCAAAATAAACGGTGATAATATAACGATAAATAGAGAGCTGTGAAGCGAATTACCCTTCTTATAGCTGTATTTTCAATTTATGTTAATGTGCATAAGAAATTCACATGAAAAATGACATATCGATATTACGCCTATAACATGCATTTTATTATTTACACACAACATAGAAGGCATAAAAAGTTTCGTCTTCTTATCTACGAATATCCCGTTTACTTGTCATCGTCTGATGCATGTAATTGCTGCCGAAATTTCTGAATTATGTCATTTCGGCTATGAAGTTATCTGGATCAAGCTCTAATTAATTTCGTAGTTTCGGAAGAACATGACGTTTGAACAGTATTATCTCGACATCTAGTGATCAAACCTGAGCGATTTTTATACCATTCGATTCGTCTTGTAGAGACAAATTAAATGATAATATTGTTACCAAAATAAGTAAAATTATACTATAATTTGAAAATTAAAGTGAAAAGTAAAGTGAAAAGTAAAGTGAAAAGTAAAATGAAAAGTTAAATGAAAAGTAAATGGGAAAGTAATACAAATATTTATAAAAATAATCATAATTTAGCTATTATTTATAGAAAACTCATATGTATAAAAAAGGAATCTTTCCCTCTTAATGAAAGACATGCTCAAATACTTTAATCAAATATTTAATAAAGGTCTTATATCTTATTAATAATTTCTTAAATTATTTGTCTTCAAAGCTTGAGAACAAGCAAGTGGCTGCTCCTCCACTCTAAATAAGCTGTTATTATTATTATTTGTTTGGGAATTTGTATAAATCCTGGTATTTTAATTTAGTTAAACAGTCTCAATAAGTCCTGTTGATTATTTGTTACAAGCAGTCTCAATAAGTCTTGTAGTTTTGTTTCATAAGCCATATCAATAAGTCTTGTGGTCATTATTATTTTAAGATATTGGTAAATAACTATTTGTTAGATTGCATACAATCTACCATAGGAACCCTTTAGAACATTGAAGAAACCCTTTCTATTGTAAATTATTCAATTTATTTCCCAACTGATTATCACATACAAATTCTCTAATTCCCTGAATTTAATTTGTATATGTGATAGTATTTTCTCTCGAATTCAAGCACCTAATCTTGAGATATCGCATAAAAGCGTTTGAAACTGATGATAATTTTTGTCATATCCTATCGTTATGCCATCTACATGTACAGTACCCCTAAAAAGTAATGTTCGGTTCAAAATTATATAATAAAACATAGATTTTCAAGCTATTTATACATATATTTAAATTTTATAGCAATTTAAAGCTATTTTTAAAAAAATAATATTAGACTTGTGACAAATTAAAATGCAAGGACTGTTTTGATCAGAAAGGAAAAAATTTTTTACAGTGCTCGCCATATACACGTATAATGAGAAAAATACGCCATTTTTTATTTTTGTATGATAAAAACTGCTAGAAAATATATAAAAATTTACAGATATATAATTTAACATATTGCAAACAAGTTTTTTTAGACTACTTGATAACATAACTTATTTTTATCATTCTCAAAATTTGATTTTAATTTTGATAATACTTAAGCTATTAAGTTCCCTTAAAAAAACTTGCTCGTGATATATTGAATTATATATATTTAAATTTTTATATGTTTTCGATCAATTTTTATGATGTAATAAAAAACTACCATTTAATTGACTTAGTTTCATTTATAGTGTACTATCAGGATTATTACAATAAGTGCTCTTTAAGTAAACTTGAT